GCACCTCCACCACCTCCGCGCGCTACTAGGGCACCTCCACCACTTCCGTGGCACCAGGAAGGCGCAAGTATCTGGGCACGGTGACGCGTGAGGTGGCGCTCTGGTGAAGCTTGCTGGTCTTCTCCAGCAGGGCGTGGATGTGCAATGTTGGATACGTAGGGGGGACATGTAATATAGGCAAACAAGGAAACAAGCTGGATAAATTCACCTACCAGGCCCAAAGAAAAGTAACTAACGAATCAGCGTAATGAAAGTAAGAGAAATTTATGTGAGATGAAAACCAAGAAGCAGCATTAGAAACGACTTGTTTGATTTGATCTTTGGAACGGTTTTTGCCGAGAGGAGCAGGGACGAGGAAGGAGAGGAGAGACGCAGTTTTATATTGCCTTTCTTTTTTATTCTGTTGGTTCTGCATAGTGGAAAGCCCTGTATGAGGAATGGGATCGGCTGCTCCTCCACCCCCTTTCCTCAACCCCCGCCACGTTTCGAAAAGGCATTAGCATTCGGCTCCGAAACGAAACACGGAGAGGGAAAGGGGCAGAAGAAACCCCTCGCGCCACCGCCACAAGGGGATGGGGACGAGAGAGGGTGAGGGTGGGAAAAAAAATCAAAACAAAAGTGAAAAACTTGCGACCACTTCTTTCCCATTTCAGTTTCTGCAACGCGCCCGGATCCACTTTGGATCGCAGAATAGTAGAAGAGAGAGCCATACAATACAAGGTGTCGTGTCACACGGTGCGGGTGCGAAGGAGGAAAGAGCCCTCAAAAATAAAAATGTCAAGACCAAAAATTTCAGTAGAAACGTGAACTAAAAGAAATTATTTAATGACTCTCTGCCTCTCAGTTTTACTCAAAATTTCAATAATAGCTTTTACTTCACGTTTTTATTACTGAAATGTTCAGTCTTTACACAGCAGGCGTCGTGGAATCATCGCTTCGCTCGTCTCCGCGATTGATTGGCAGCTGCGCCGACCCGGGCCGCCCTATGCGGAACTGTGAGGATTGAGTACACAGCGAGTGTATTGGCCCACGCTCCGCCCCGCCCCGCGCCGCCCCGCAACGCTCTACACCACGCTCGGCACCTGGTTGGCAGCGCAGCGCCGCCCCACAAACAGGCCTCCAGTAGCAGCAGCAGCAGCAGCAGCAGCAGCAGCGGACCTAATCGGAGTATTTGTCCAGGGGGTCTGTTGATGTTTTCTTTGGGGATGTGCCCGGCCCCGCCTGGCCCGGCCCTTGCACCCTCCTGCAGGACGGACGACGCTTGGCCGATGTTTTGCTTGGACTGCTGCTGCTGCTGCTCCTGCGTGTTTACTTCTTCCCTTCCCCTTCCCTCCCCCCTCCCCC